GTCTGCAATTTGTCTTTACTTACGAAAGTCAAAACTAAATAGGCCATTTTGTAGAGAATTAAATTCTGCATCGAATGGTATGTCTCTCAATATTTTTTCAAAAATGTTTTTTGGTTAAAAAATTCAAAATATGATTTTTCACAAGTTTAAAACCCGGTTTTTGATTCTAAAACCTAAGTTTTTTACAAAATAAATGTCAAATTCGTAATCAGCGTTAAAAATTGCATCTAGTAACGCATTCAGATTTGTCCAACTCGAAAAAACATTTTTTCGAAACTTGATCAGCGAAGTGTCGCGTTACGTGGACAAGCCGACGGGATAAAAGAGGTTATAGTTATGAAACCGTTGCGCATGTAGAACCAAGCAAGGCTGGCGCAATGTATCCGGGATGATTGTTATGCAATAATGGAAGATGATTTTATGGATTGAGAGAAAGAATAGTAACCACAGAGAGATTCACATAGAAGATGTGGTATACAGAGAGTTTCAGGTAGAGGTGGCTATATAGCCAGGGAGAATGATGGAAAATATGTTTGGTAGTTAGAGATTTAGACATATGATACCAGATCAAAGAGGCACGAGAGAGAATATGTTTGGTGGAGAGTGATTTGAAGAGAGGTCGAGTGATGGCGCGCTAGATACAGAGAAAATATTTTGCTTGGACAGTAATTCGGAGTGTAGATATTTCATACAGAGAGAGATGTGAAGAAGAAATTTTAAAGAGAGGTATTTGTCAGATTTATTGTATAGATAGCGATGATAGAATATAAAAGCCATGGGTTACGCGAATCATTATTACATTTCGCATAAAATGAATTTGAACAAGTCTTATGTCTGTGCTTGTTGTAGTGATCGCGTAACTGTAAGCAACCAACTTCCGCTAATTGCAAAATGCATTCGACTTTTCTTCTCCACCGCCTTGTTCCCAATGGCACCACCGATAGACGCCTTCATTTGTAGAACGAACTACTCGTACGGGCGTCATATTTTTGATCAGTACTATGGAGGGAACTGTAAATCATGCCTGCTAAACATATTATTGACGGCACTATACTGACTGTCGATTACTCGTCAAATTGCCGATACTGCGCTCCTTGAGATTTTCTAGCAAGACAATTGCTCCCTAATGTTTTATTATTATTTTGCAGTTCTTGAAACGCTCGATCTGCACAGAAAAAAAACGGCGATGGCGTCAAAAACCACAGTGCAGATCACACGAACCATACTATGAAATCCACTGGTTTCCCGTAGAACCCGGACAATTTGGTCCTTGGAAATTTTCAAGTACAGCATATTTTCCCTTACATTTTGTGTTCATTTTAGAGGCCTTGAAAAGCTCTATCTGGACAGAAAACATGACGATGGTATCGGGAACAATACTCAAGATCCTACGCACCATACCATCCGAACAATGAGTTTTTCTGTTGAATCTGCATAGTGTGATGCTTGGAAATTCTCGCGCGCAGCATATTTTTCTATAGAATTTATCATCACTGTGTACGTCTTGATAAGCTCTATGTGTACAGAACATATGACGATGGTATCAGGAACAATACTCAAGATCATATGGACCATACCATCCGAACAATAAGTTTTCCTGTAGAATCCGCACAGTGTGGTTCTTGGAAATTCTCGAGCACAGTATATTTTCCATTAAAATTTGTGAGCATTTTGTAGCTTTTAAAAAGTTCAATCTGCTCAGAGAAAATGACGATGGTATCTGGGAACAATACTCAAGATCCTACGGACCATACCATCCAAACAATGAGTTTTCCTGTAGAATCCGGAGGGTGTGGTCCTTGGAAATTTTCGAGCACAGCATATTTTCCTTTACAATTTTTGATCATTTTGTAGCTTTTGAAAAGTTCTATCTGCACAGAAAAAAAGACAATGGTATCAGGAGCGATACTCACGATTATATGGACCATACCATCCCAACAATGAGTTTTCCTGTAGAACCCGGAAAGTGTGGTCCTTCGAAATTCTCGAGCGCAGCATATTTTCCTCCACATTTTGTGATCATTTTGTAGCTCTTGAAAAGTTATATCTTTCCTGAAGACATGAGTTTGATTTGGTAAGCTAACGTGGTTAACCTGTGAGGGGATTTGAGAAATTGATAATGCTTCTGTCCTTGTTAGGAATGTCTGGGACAGGTCTCTAAAGATGGTCTGAAAGAGATTCGGATCCTTTATTCTTGCTTAGAGGAAGATGAAATTCAATTTTATAAAGTGTCCTGAGATGATTTCTATTTAGGGCCGTTTTACGTGCAAACCGTCCCCCGTCCTTTCAATTCTCAATTTCCAAGTCAATACCCAATAACTACAACCATCATCAATATTAATATATAAATTCATTTAATACTTTTCTCTCAATTTTACAATTCAAACACATCATCACAAACCAACACATTTCAAATACTACAATCACATCATCTATTCTACATAATCCATGTCATCTCTTGTTGTAAAATCATTACATAATTGTTCTTCCTTCTGTCACGACTAGGGGTGGGAAGTTACCGTTCCCAGACCGTTACCCGGGAACGGTCACGGTAACGGTTCCTATGGAAGGTGTTACCAGTTATCCGAGTAACTGGTAACGGTCCCGTTACCAGTTACTTTTTCTTGGTAATTTTTTGAAAAGACTAAATATCACTTATATTGGACCGAATATTGACAATACACCAGTAAAAAAAATTGGAGTTACCAGTTACCCTGGTAACTGTTACCCATTTCCAGTTACTTGGGAACGGGTCAACTTAAAAAATAACGTAGTTGCAAAATTCTGTTGATGGGAAGTAATAATTCATCTTTTTAGAGAAGTTACCAGAAAAAAGTAACTGGTAACGGTAACTTCCCACCCCTAGTCGCGACTCAATAGTCCTTCTTACTCTTGTGACTCACTACTTTGCTTAAGATTTTTGTTTTTTGTCTTTTTCAATATTTTTCTCATGTATCACTAATAAAAATCTGTGTATAGCCTGACGAAGAATCATTCGAAACGCGTCGCTAATCATTATTCTTTATTTCTTATTCAAATAAATTTAACTCTACCCTTATTTTCCTCAACTTGTGAAAGTTTTTCAATAACAAAAGACAAAAAACATTCCATATATATATATGTACATATATACAAACTTATATAATACCAAATAACAATCGATTCAAATCTATGAAGAAATAAGATTAAATAAATAATTCAAACTTCACATTTTTAATTGACGAATCAAATCGATTTTGCATTAAAAACAAAAAAATAAAAAATATTTTTTCTTCATTTTTTAAAAAAAGTGCACTCTACTTCTCGGCTCGAATATAAAATAATTTTCAAGAGAAGCATTCAATTCTTCAAAAGAGAAGAATTTTTCCGTCTTTTAATCGTTTCTTCATTCCTTCAGCTCCTCTTTGACGACCAAGACGTAACCGAATATTGTCAATAGAACAAGTTTGATATTCCTCCAATGATGCAATCTCAATTTGTAAATATCTTGTAGATTTAAGTATTTGTCTTACTTCTTTCCAGTGCTGCCATTCACTTCCATCTTTTAACGGAGAAGACTCTAGAACTAAAGAAAGAGAAGAAAGAATAAAGTAACAGTAGCAATTTCAGGTCACTTACCGAGTTCTATTTTGGATAAACGTGTCTGTAGTGAATCTTTTAACCAAATATACATTTTTAATTCGCTATTTCTGTTTGTAGAACATCCAAAATCTGCAGACATGTCTACTTCAGCTTCACCGGTATCAACGAAGAACGAATAGCTACTCAAATCAATTTCTTGATACATAAACATCGGTTTTATAGAGGTCGTAAAATTAAAATAACAATTTCGATCTGTCACATTTGACGCTAGTGATGGATAGGAATGAAACTGATGCTCAAATGAAGACCAGTGGGAAATCAGATCTTGTTGCTTGCACTAAAAAAAAGCTGAAAGGCATAGAAAACAACTGAATCAAAAGAGAAGATACTAACGAACTTACATTTACTTCTGCATCTCCATTCAACACCAAATTCGTCTCATTAATGAGCCATGTTTCATTCGGTAGAATTACATTTGCCATCTTAATATAACCACGTTGATTCGTCCGTAGCCAACTTTCTCCACTACATCGAACGCCAGCCATATTTGTATTTAGTATATTAACAAAAATTGGTGTTTCAAACCATATATTAGTAAAATCTACCAAAGCTAAATTTGTTCCTTCAAAATCAATACGACCACCAAGTGTAGCTCTGGTGAAGTTAGCGTAGGACAAGTCTGCACCATTGAAACTAACATCACACAAAGTTGTCTCACAAAAATCCGCACCTATCAGTTGAGTGCCATCAAAGTACACATAAACATTTTCAGCAGGTTCATCAATAGTGTACTTCTTGATGCAGGAAAAGTTTGTCTTGACGAATTTGGTTCTATACATCATTGATTCTTTAAAATTAACACCTTCTTTAAATTGACATCCGATAAATGATGCACTTGTGAGATCCGATGATGGCAGAGAGAGATTTCTAAACTCATATTTCTTGAATGTCGAGCTATTCAAGGTAATATTTGATAGATCAGAACCAGACAGATCGAGTGTAGGAAGTAAATTATTCTCATAGAGAAACATAAATAATTGTGTCTTCCGTTTTGAATTCAGTTCTCTTAAAGCTGATAATGTTTTACTACGTATATAATGAAATTTTGTTCGATTGTCACGAAATGTTTGATTCAGATGTTTCAATTTAAATACAGTTTCAGAAATGTCTTTAATATAGTTACGATAAACCTGTTGAAAGTGTAAATCATCAGCTTGTCGTTGATCTTGTTCTCTATAGGCACGTGCAATTTGTTGATCTTGTTGACGGTGTCTTTCACTGATACGATACTGTTGTATAGTCAAAACAACGGTGAAAATCCCAATCATTAGTGGGACGAGGGCACCTGTAACCATATGTGTCCATGTCAAGCAACGTCTTTCACGTTTTGATTGTTTTCGTACGAGTAAGGGAGGAGCGACACGTCGTTTAGTGCGACGCGAGGGTGCATGAGGAAACATTAGAATGAGCACGTTCTGAGTTTAAAATATACACGAAATAGAAAGAAAGAGATATGCTTGAAGAAAATGTGTAAGTCTTTAATTGGAACAGAGACTCTGTTCTGTTCTTTCGTACTGAGAATGAAATTTGATCTCTGACGTCAGTGATTAGAAAATAAAGAAATGTGTTTCAACACCACTGTTCTTAAGTGAGTTTGAAAGTTGTCTGTTTTGTTTTAGAACCTATGGGAAGTGGAAATTAAACAAATTCATAATAGAAATTGTTCTTGAGTCGCAATTAGATTTCGATAAATGTCGTCAAACTGTACCCATGAAATAATTTTGATACCTTAACGCAGGTTAACACTGGTTAATAATGTCTCTTTAAGCGAAATTGCGTTTAGACGGGTTACATGTTCCAAACTCACGCGTCCGAACGCTTCTGCTGAGTAGAGATGTGTGAGAACTGGTTAAATGTGATTTCGAGCGCTCTAACGAGTTTTTACGCGTTTAGGCTTAACGAGTTCAAGTGCGTTAAATTTCGTCAATGCATATGAATGAGCTTTATGCGAAAAAGCGACTTGTAATGGATTTGAACTAGTGTGGATATCAAATGCATTCTAACTGCACTTAAGTATTCATAGAATCAAAATCGATTATCGTCTTACCGTAGTTGACTGCTAACATTTTTTCAGTAATAAAAGCACTTGGGAGGACCAGATAGATGTGTTTGAAGAATATGACGGATTGAGCACAAACCAGCTAAATGTAACTAAGGGTAGAAAGATTATTCCTATGTTTAAGTACAACTTCAGTTCTCATTCGTAACACGTCCTGTGGTATTTTCTTTTCTTCTGCTTAATCTAGCTGAACATCGTTCAAAGCAGATCGCTTTTGATTCTCAGATCATATTTAGTGAACAAAAAGAGCAACTGCAAACTGCAAAAGCGACCTTGGTGCCAGGTATAAGATATGTATCAGTTGTAAGATGTTTTGCATGTATTTTATTTGTTTACCTCTTACTAAGGAACCTTTCGCAGTGGTATATCGCTTTTCGACTCCGACTATTTTCATCATGTAGGAAATTGTGAACAGTGAAAACAGTCCAAGTTGGTTTGGGTGTGGGTGTGTGGGTGTGGGGTGCAGGTGTTAGTGTGGGTGTGGGATGCAAGTGTTAGTGTAGGTGTGAGGTGCAGGTATTAGTATGTGGTGGGTGTGGATGTTCCCCTGTATGTTTGACTTTTCTATACTCACACCCATACCCCACACCCACACCCACACCCACACTACACATCCAGACCCAGGCCCACACCCACACCCAGACCCATACCCACACCCACACCCACACCCGGTGAAATTCTCACGCCATTCTACCACATGACTAAGTTGCCTGAATAACTTTGTGAGGATGTGATTGGCAAAATATCTAAAGTAGCATGCTATTCTATCGCCTGCTGTCTTTTGCTTATATTTTAATCAATGTCCATAGATTTCATTTAAATTCTATGGAATCATATCTATAGGTTCTACTACGAAACTACGGTTTTCATCGCCACTTCGAAATCTTGCCATATTAACATTGAAGTCTGATCTTATGATAAAATTTTTTAAGTCTGAGTTTTGCTCATAGCTCGGAAGAACATAGTTCATTCATTTTGTTACATCTATACACATTTCAATGTTTACGATTGTGTCCATATCCGTTTTACGAGTAGTCTTATAGAATCCATAAAGATTTACTCCTTACAGTCATGTGATGGAAGCCGGAGTCGTCTGTCAAATTTTATTGGCGAGTTGTTGTTGATAACAGATTTAATTATTTGCCTTACGATGTTGATTGGTATTTTTCAAATGAATAGCGCCTCTTACTTTTGCAGTATTTTAAACCGTGATCTCCTGCTGTTATTTGTGTTTGCCTACCTTGTTGGTTTTCTTCTTAACGATGCATAGATGTAATTTTGCTTAAAAATAAAAGACCTAATAAAATTCTTTTGATCTTAAGTCTACGAAGCATTTGACTTTAAACTGAATTCTAGAGAGAAAAAACAAGTGACCCCCCCCCCCTTCCCCCACACACACGACTAAGAGAGACAGTCGAACACTGAAAATAAACTTCTCACACATCCTACAAGACAATGTTACTATATTTTAAATATTCAGTAACTTCATCTCTTTGTAAATTCTCTATTTTTCAGACAGCAGAACACATGGAACTTATGAATTTTCAATACATCTGTCCCACCCTTTACTCTTTTGTTTTCAGGTAGGAAGAGCTAGAAGAACATGGAAATCTTATGAATTCTGAAATTTTTCTTATCCAAAGAAAAGGGATAAGGCAGGACAACCGAATTCAGAATTCATTCGTCTTCCTGTCAGCAACAAAAAGGTTAAGGGTAAAACATATGAATTCAGGGCGCGGGTGGGGGTGTGGGTTGACTAGGTCTTTAATTCATCTCGACTGTAGTGTACGGATGTGAAAGAATAAAACATCAATACCGACACCCGCATCCGAGATAGTTACTACTACATCACGGCAATATTATGCATTTCATCTCTGCTTGCTTCTCTCTTGTTTCATTTTTCTTTCTGAAGTGTTTCGATTACACCCCATTGAAAATAACTGCAGGTAGCAACCCTAAAACATTCATTGTTGTATGAAAATAACTGTTAATATTGTCCAAAAATTTGGATCTAAAATGAGATCTAATTATAGAGAACTATCAGAACATTTGTATTTTATTTCATTCATAAATATATTAGACAAGAATCATTATGAAAAACAGGGGAAATTTTGTGTAGGCTTGTGAATAATTGAAAATTTAAAATATAATTAACTACTGTTCTGTTAATTGAATTCATATTCTAAAAAGTCTGGAACATTCATCTCATGTATCCAATAAAAGATAAGAAGATTATAATAAAAAAAGAGCACAGTTTTCCCCAACATTGAATCTAATTCATATATATCCTGAAGTTTCCTATTAATGTGGTTTCTCTAAAACATAAGAAGCTGATGGAGATGAATTATAGATGTAAATTGAATCTTCCTAGTTTTCTCGTAACTCCCTAAAGTCTACAACGAGCACTTCGAAAGATGAATGGAAGGCTCTTTAATTGAAATGAAAACTGAATATCAATGCAATACTCAAACGGCACTTTAGTCTATCAATTGTAGGGAAGACTTAGATGTCAATCTCTATCTTATCCACATCTATTGACTCTAATTGATGCTACATTAGCCTTTTTATTCACATACCATATATGTTTACATACACTGACAATTAATGAAAAGTCTTACAAGTATATTTTCTCGCATCGGTGGACAACAAAGTTTCAGCGAATCGATAATGCATGATTGTGTGTTTACACAAAAACATAAATGTTTTCTTTTTCAAATAAAAAGGGTGTGGGTGTGGATGTTGATGTTGATGTTTTTTCCCCACACCCTCAATTTCTGTGAATCAAGATATCATAGGTTGCAACTGGTTTCATTTATACAACAAAGAAAATTGAAAAAAATTACTTTACTTTAGGAGAGAAAGATTGATAAACTATAAGAACGAAGAAGAAGAAAGGATATACAAACTTTTCTGTTGCAATAAATAATTTGATCGGCACCAGCACAACACTTAAACGAAAATTTGAATAATGGATACTTTGACAAAAGAAAATCTTATCATATATAAATATTTTAATGCTTTTCGTTATGTGTAAGATTAAACGATATGACAAGAATTATTCTTTCTATACACATATGTACAAAAAAAACGCAGATAAAATATAAATTCATGACAAATATCTAACTTATTTATCAGAACTTGTGAGTTCATTGAATAATCTTGTATCTAGAGTACTAAAATTCATGGATCTGATATCAATCAGTTTCCAGTAGTGTCGAACTCGAAAGTGGAATTCAATAATTGAATAGTTGAACGAGATATTCAAAAATTGAATTCAATTTGTAGGTTTGGCATATATGTTGTATAAAAACATCTATTGGAGAAAGTTCATAAAAAATATAGTCGACTTCATAGTTGGCAACTTGTTCTGAACATATTGGAAAAGAAAAAATCTATTCAGTTATTAATGAGTATTCTTTGTCGATGCAATAATTAGTCAGTTAATCTAAATTTAACACTTTCTTGATACGCTAATAAAAATCTACGAACACATTCTTTTCTCGAGTTATGAAAAATTTTTATTAGGTTTTATCTACAGTAATATGTTTAATTAGCTTATAGTTTTTTACGAAATTCAATAAATTGATTATTTCTATTTAATAGAACAGCTACATTCGAGCAATAACACTTTCTTTCATTTGTCTATTAACTATGTCTTACATTTTACATAAAGCCACATGGTCTCAAATTTCAGATCTGTTTTTTTCTGCAATCGTCTATTTACTCCCTCTACTTTGTGGTCAAATAAAATGAAACTATGGTTGCATTATTCACATGCATTCATTACACATTGATGGTCATCACGAATAGAGGTTTTTTTCTATTATCATTCAGTGAAACATTACTATTATCATGATGTCGAAAATAGTTAATCAAATATTCATTTCATTGAGGTCTATCAGTTCTGTTGTTCTATAGTCTTCTAAGTCTCCGAATCCATTTAAATATAATTATGAAAAGATCAATTTTTGCTATTCTATACATCATATTCCAATGCCTCGTATTTTTCTCTTTTCTGAGAATTTTTTATTTGCTTATATTCTTTCTCTTCTTCTTAGTTCTACAGATTCAGTTCAGTACTGAAAAAAATGCAATACGAACAAACCAACGAAGAAATCACTATGATAGGTGGTCTTCCAGTTGCTGTAAGCCGACGACGGTCAGTGACTGAAGATCCTCAAATGCAACGAATTAGAACGTTTCTTTTGATTATAGTTATTGTCTTTTATGTGAGTTTTTCTTATTATTTTAATTATTATTGAACAAGAAAAAGAAAAGAATTTTCTTTCTACAATGCTTTATTTTTTTTTAATTCAGAATTTATATATATTAATGATTCGA